TACCGGGTTCTAGTCCTGGTTGGGGCACCGGATTCTGTCCCGGTTGCCCCTCTTCCAGGCCAGCTCTCTGCTGTGGCCAGGAAGTGCAGTGGAGGATGGCCCAGGTGCTTGGGCCCTGCACCCCATGGGAGACCAGGAAAAGCACCTGGCTCCTGGCTCCTGCCATCGGATCAGCGCGGTGCACCGGCCGCAGCGCGCCGGCCACGGCGGCCATTGGAGGGTGAACCAATGGCAAAAGGAAGACCTTTCTCTCTGTCTCTCTCTCTCTCACTGTCCACTCTGCCTGTCAAAAACAAAAACAAAAACAAAAAAAAAACCATCTCCTACTTTGCATGCCTATGGTTGTTACCTGTCATCTTCCTGTAACATCATACAAAGGAACTACTTAGCCAAAGTAAAGCTGGGACTAGGAACATTCTATGATGTTGTGATCATAATTTAAAGTAATATTTTAATTAAAAATTTACTTTTTTTAAAGATTTATTTATTTATTAGAAAGAGTTACACAGAGAGGGGGGAGGGAGACAGAGAGAGAGGGAGAGAGAGGGAGGGAGAGGGAGAGGGGGAGGGAGAGGGAGAGAGAGAGAGAGAGAGAGAGGGAGAGGGAGAGGGAGAGGGAGAGGGAGAGAGAGAGAGAGAGAGAAAGAGAGAGAGAGAGAAAGATGGGAGAGTGAAACAGAGAGATCATCCATTTGCTGCTTCATTCTGCAGATGACCACAATGGCCAGTACTGGCTCAGGCCCAAACAGGGAGCCAGGGGCTTCTTCCAAAACTCCTAGTGAGCGGCTGGGGCCCAATTACTTGGGCATTCTTCCATTGCTTTTCCCAGGCCATTAGTAGGTAGCTGAACTAGAAGTGGAGTAGCAGGGCCGGCGCCGTGATACAGTAGGTTAATCCTCTGCCTGCAGCACCAGCATCCCATTTGGGTGCCGGTTCTAATCCCAGCTGTTCCTCTTCCAAGCCAGCTCTTTGCTATGGTCTGAGAAGGCAGTAGAAGATGGCCCAAGTCCTTGGGCCTCTGCATCCACATGGGAGACTGGGAAGAAGCACCTGGTTCCTGGCTTCAGATCGACGCAGCTTTAGCCATTGCAGCCATTTGAGGAGTGAACCAATGGAAGGGAAGACCTTTCTCTCTGTCTCTCCCTCTCACTGTCTATAATTCTACATCTCAAACAAATAAATAAAATCTTTAAAAAAAGAAGTGGAGTACCTTGGACACAAATCTGTGCTCATATGCATCCAATGTTTCAGGTGACAGCTTTACCCACTATACCACAATATCAGCACCTAATTTAAAATATTAAGTGTACCTAGAGGATAATACCGGTATATTTGACTTAATGGACATTACCAGAAGAAATGCACTCAAAATACATAGGAAGTAAAGAAAAATGGAATGTGCTGTAGTAGAGCAAAATGTTTTCTCGTGTTTCCTGTTAAAAATATTTTACATAGAGTGATTCAGTTTTACGGTTCTATTAGCAACTATACCAGGCTGGTGTACCAGTTCTGGACAGGTTACTCAGACATTTCTACTTGCTTAAGTTACTATATTTTCTTTTTTTCCCCAATTTTTATTTAATAACTATAAATTTCCACAGTACAACTTTTGGATTATAGCAGCTTTTCCCCCCATAACCTCCCTCCCACCCACAACCATTCCATCTCCCACTCCCTCTCCCATCCCATTCACATCAAGATTTCAAGATTCATTTTCAATTATCTTTATATACTGAAGATAAATTTAGTATATACTAAGTAAAGATTTCAACAGTTTGCACCCACACAGAAACACAAAGTATAAAGTACTGTTTGAGTAGTAGTTTTACCATTAATTCGCATAGTACAACACATTAAGGACAGAGATCCTACATGGGGAGTAGGTACACAGTGACTCCTGTTGTTGATTTAACAATTGACACTCTTATTTATGACGTCAGTAATCATCCGAGACTTTTGTCATGAGCTGCCAAGGCTATGGAAACCTCTTGAGTTCACAAACTCTGATCTTATTTAGACAAGGCCATAGTCAAAGTGGAAGTTCTCGCCTCCCTTCAGAGAAAGGTACCTCCTTCTTTGATGGCCCCTTCTTTCCGCTGGGTTCTCACTCACAGAGATCTTTCAATTAGGTCATTTTTTTTTTCTTTTGGCCACAGTGTCTTGGCTTTCCATGCCTGTAAAACTCTCATGGGCTTTTTAGCTGGATCCGAATGCCTTAAGGGCTGATTCTGAGACCAGAGTGCTGTTTAGGACATCTGCCATTCAATGAGTATCCCACTTCCCATGTTGGATTGTTTCCTCCTTTTTAATTCTATCAGTTAGTATTAGCAGACACTAGTCTTGTTTATGTGATCACTTTGACAGTTAATCCTATCATTATGATCAATTATGAACTGAAACTGATCACTTTGACTAGTGAGATGGCATTGGTACATGCCACCTTAATGGGATTGAAATGGAAACCCTGGCACGTTTCTAACTTTACCATTTGGGGCAAGTCCGATTGAGCATGTGCCAAACTGTACATCTCCTCCGTCTCTTATCCCCTCTCTTATATTTAACAGGGATCACTTTTCAGTTAAATTTAAATGCCTAACAATAATTGTGTGTTAATTAAAGAGTTCAACCAATGGTATTAAGTAGAACAAAAAATATTAAAATGCATTTTCTATATATGTATCTGTTATACTGTGTGTTGTATAACTCCTTATTAAAACAGCCTGTGGGGCTTGCAAAACCCTTTGTGGTGTCAGCATTGCCAGCATCCAATATAGAGGCTAGTTCAGGTCCCAGCTGCTCCACTTCCAAGCTAGCTCCTTGCTAATAGCCTGAGAAAAGCAGGCGAAGATGGTGCAAATACTTGGGTTCCTGCCACTCACATGGGAGACCAGGTAGAAGCTCCCAGCTTCAGCCTGCCCCAGCCATGGCTGTTGTAGCCATTTGTGGCCTTTCGGAGAGTGAATCAGATGGAAGATCTCTTTCTGTCTCTCCCTTTCTCTCTGTAGTACTGACTTCCAAATAAGTAAACAAATCTTAAAAAAAAAAACTTATGATATATTATGACTATCCTAACACTGTTTATGTTTCTTGGTAGATAACTGCACTTATACTGGTGAATTAAAATAAAATGTATTCTATCTTATTATGATCATCATAATTTATGAAGATAATTACTTGTAATGCTAGAAAAGCATACACAGAGAAATCAAACCCCAGTTTCCACATTTTAGATCCTAATTGAAAAACGTATTAATGTACATGGGAGTAATAATGCATAACACTTTATATGGCCAAACTTAATTTCATATAATTATTGTACATTAATAAATGTATCCACATATTGGTGACGGTTATATCATTAGACAGCATCTATCACTCACTTGTCTAAAACACACACATACACAAACACACAAAAAACAACAAATCCAGCAGCTACATTAGCAAGTAAAATAAGCTATGAAATAGAAATCATTTCAAAGATGACTCAATAATATAATGGAAATTCCATGACAAGGAAACTTCCATATCAGCTAACACTGTTGTAACCCTTGACCTAAAAAGTGGCAAAATGCTCCAGCTGCTTCCTTTGAAAATAAAAACCATCTCCAAATACAAGCACTAGGGACCAAGTACGAGCAAGGAAATCTTCATCATAAATGAAGATCTATTGTAAAGAGAATGCCTCCAGAAGAAAATATCATCATACAAGAATCATTTATTGTTTTTGGCATTAAATTTTAATTCCCTATTCACTAAGTTTATTTTAATAGATTCTCGTATTATATTTAGAAGCCACTAATTTTATATTTTGTATTTTAACAATTGAAAAAGTCAGTATATGCATGCTATATAAAAAATAAGAATGTAAATTTTTAAAATATGTTTCCTTAAGTAAGATGACAAAACCTCAAGTAACCTAAATAATGTGATAATTGAAATTAAGAATTTTTAGTGATACTTGAAGGAAAGTCAGTACTATCAGTATTTCATAGTTATGCAGTTAGATATCTATAAACCGTAAAGACAATTTGTGAAAGCTTCAACAAATGTAAAAACTTTGTTGGCACTATGTCAATTTTAAAGGGACATTTTGTATTTAAAGATTTTAAATATCCTAAATTGTTTTTTAAAATATAACTAGGAAGTAAATACATCTGAAATCCATTTAATAAAGATGTTCACCACATGCTACTGACACAAAATAATTGTCCTACCTATGTGTTTCTTTCTCCCTGTGTACATATATTTATAGATATAACTTTATCTACTTCAGTTGAGAAGATGATGTGTGAATTCTTCCTTTTCTAGTAAATCCTAATCAGCTTTTCCTTTTCCTCAACAGGGTCAGAAACAGGTCACAGCACAATTATACATAATATCTAAGACTCCTGCAAAACAAACACTAATTTTTATTTGTCTTTAATTTTTCATTTTTCTCTCATTGAGGATCTACATGACTCCATCCATACGTGTAGTCACATTGGATCACTACAAATTGTCAAAGGATGACCTTCTGAAAGAGGAAATCATTATTTCTATAATAAGTCCCAGTGCCAAGTCTCGCCTGGTAGTGTCAGCAGATCTGCCCTCGCTCTCTGCCTGATCACACACTCACACATCACGTAGATGAGGCACAGGCAGAGACAGTGATGGGCAGTACAGTTTTGTCAACAGTGTTCCTGCTTTGAAGAATGAACAAAGATGAGGGCAGCCTGCTGCCAGTGTTTGAAGAGAAAAGTCCTGTTTGCCAATGATGGCATGCAGTACAAATGCCCATGAGTGGGCTGGTTTACAGGACTGGAGATGTCAGAGTTGCAGTAAACACCAGCACCAAATGACACATGTTCTGCCTTCTTACTTCTGTGGGTGAGCTATGGCATTTTCTGGTAAATATACATTTATTTTTAGCCAAATTTTAATGAAAGTTCATTCTTAGCATGGTTCCTTTAGAAAATATAAATAAAAAACATAATAAAAAATGATGGTAGGAACATTCTTACCAAGTGAAGATAAGGCATAATAATGTAGATATTAAAATCAAAACTTGATTAAACATTGCAGACTGTGTACGCTGAATTGCTCTGTGTAGATCATTCTAAAAAATACAGAAAAGGACATACTGAAAATGTTGATAAGTGCAAAACATTCGTGAGTTTGATTACATTCATTACCATGCATTGTATTTCAGCTATCAGGTATACCCAATACATATCCTTCATTGCAGCATATGAGGGCACTTCAAAAATCTTGTAGAAAATGGAAGGAAGGGCCGGCGCCGTGGCTCAATAGGCTAATCCTCCACCTTGCGGCGCCGGCACACCGGGTTCTAGTCCCGGTCGGGGCGCCGGATTCTGTCCCGGTTGCCCCTCTTCCAGGCCAGCTCTCTGCTGTGGCCAGGAAGTGCAGTGGAGGATGGCCCAGGTGCTTGGGCCCTGCACCCCATGGGAGACCAGGAAAAGCACCTGGCTCCTGGCTCCTGCCATCGGATCAGCGCGGTGCGCCGGCTGCAGCGGCGGCCATTGGAGGGTGAACCAACGGCAAAGGAAGACCTTTCTCTCTCTGTCTCTCTCTCTCACTGTCCACTCTGCCTGTCAAAAATAAAAAAAAAAAATAAAATAAAATAAAAAAAAAAAGAAAATGGAAGGAAAACATAAAAGTATTTTGGTGAAAAAAATGTTGCACTCCATGCGTATGTGGGATCTTCAAAAAGTTCATGGGATATGGTATAATAAACTATGCATGAATTTCAGAATTTTTAAACTCAATTTTCACAAACTTTTAGAAGTATCCTCATCTATTCATTTTTGACAAAATCCAAATAAAACTTGCTATTGCCTTTGTATTACAAAGATGGCATTCCAGGAAGACCACAAAAGCACTAACCCTCAGCTTACTTTACCAACAGACATCTGAACAAATGCTGCACTTACTCCCTTAAAACCTCCTACAGTAAGCATGATCTCCCCTGAAAAAATCTAATTTCAAAATATCAGAAAGAAATATGTTAAATTTAAAAGGAAGTAATAGCTGAGTGAAGTTATAGTCAAATTTCATTATCAAGAGTAGCATGAAGTAGTCCAAGCAATTTATCATAAAAATATAAAATATAGCAAATGGACATAATTTTTAAAGTTCAGTTTTATTATCATTAATAGGGAATATATACTTTTTTTCCTTTCCAACTGACAGTAAAAATCAGTAATATTCAGTGTTGTATAAGTTTGAAAAGAAGATGAGTCACATAAGATATTGTTCATGAAGTTTGTTAAATTTCTGGAAGCAATTGGGTAATATATGTGAAAACGTAGAAATATATCCTTCTAGTTCATGCATTCATTCATTTATATAAGCAGATTTCACTCAGTTATATAATTTTAAATTTTAACCACCTGAAAATCATTAGAAACAGGCTCTTGATATCTATTTAATAACCTAAAAATCTGACCATTACACTAGCACATAACAAAAATCCCAATTATAATACTGAATACAAAATGCAGGTTCATTATGATATATATGAGAAAGGTATATTTTGGCTTAGAATATATTAAAAGGATATAAATTACTACTGGTGTTTACTTGATAGATTCAGGGAATTGTGTAATTTTTTGTTTTATATTCATCGCAAAGCTTTTATAGTATAGGTTTAAAATCTTAAAATCAGTACAGCATGAAATAAATAATTCAGGAATAAAAAAAGTCAATGAGCCATTATTTTTCTTCCTTTACCACACATTTAACCAGAACTGTTCTGAAAATAAACAATGAAGTTAACTGGTTAGAATTTCATCTCTTATCCTTAGTTTGTTAAGGCAGAGGTGTTAAATGGGCAGTAAGACATAAAAATTCAACATGCAGTGAGAAAAAGAAAAGAAACTGTACAAATAAAATGAAAGTGTCAGTGTTTGGCAGAGTGGTTAAGATGCCACTTGGGACTCCCCAATTCCATGTTAGAGTGCCTGGTTTCAAGTCCTGACTCCTCATCTTCCAACCCAACTCCCTGCTAATGCACACTTAATACACAGTAGGTAATGGCTCAAATTCTTGGCTCCCTTCCAGCCACATTGCAGTTCCAGATTTAGTTCCAGGTTCCTGGCTACAGCATGGTCCAGCCCCGGCTCTTGCAAACATTTGAGAAGTGAACCAGCTAATGAAAGATCTCTTTTGATCTGATTCTCTCTCCCTCTGTCTCTGCCATTCAAACAAGTTGAAAATAAATAAATACATTTTTAAAAGAAAGAAAACAGAAAATGAATTCTAAATTTTTTTGTTTTCACAGGCTGATTTAGACAGTGAGAAAGAGAGAGAGAGACAGAAAGGTCTTCCTTTCTGTTGGTTCACCCCCCAAGTGGTCGCTATTGCCGGTGTGCTGTGGCCGGCGCTGCGCCAATCCGAAGCCAGGAACCACGTGCTTCCTCTTGGTCTCCCATGCAGGTGCAGGACCCAAGCACTTGGGCCATCCTCCGCTGCCTTCCTGGGCCACAGCAGAGAGCTGGACTGGAAGTGGAGCAACCAGGACAGAATCCAGCACCCCAACCGGGACTAGAACCCGGGGTGCCGGTGCCGCAGGCAGAGGATTAGCCAAGTGAGCCGTGGCACCGGCCTGAATTCTAAATTAATATTGCAGCACAATTTATTTCCTTAATGATTGACTAATGATAGCTCTCCTGGCTGTTACTTTCCCCAACAACTAATAGTACAATAATTAGCACAGAAGTTTCCTTTTTCCTGGTGTTTCTTTTTTCATTAGCCATTTAGGCACCTATATGTAGTCAAACTATTTCTTTGTGGCAATTAATATAGAACAACATTTCTATAACTATTGCGCAAGCCACAGTTTACAACACTTTGGCCATGTACTTTCAGGAGACTCCAGTGGCTACTTTATTTGCATGTTTAGAAACATTCACCTGGTTACCAACACAGAAATGTTATCCAAATATTTCTTCTGGCCATAATGTCTGTTTAAAAACCATTTAACAAAAACAAGTTTTCCTCCAAACAAGTGTAATTTGCAGTGCAGTAAAATTAACATTGAACACTTATTATGTTATATCAGATGTATATACATTACATTGCACAGATACACACTATGTATGTGTATTTATACACATATATATGAATGCATATATTTGTGTGTGTAGTCCTAATTGGTTCTCACAGAAAACCGGTACTGTATTTGCCTTATTTTGTTTTGCAGTTGAAGATATTAGCCGAGAAGTTATATCATTCACCTATCACAGTGTTTAGCACATGGTGGGGCACACAGTAATGTGAAGAATGAAGAAGTATCTTATAGCTTATGTGTAAGTATTAAAGCCTATGGTAAACACAGTTTTAAAATTCACACCTTCCAAACAGAGTCATCTTGGATAAAAGGCATCTGTGGCCCAGATCTGAGTTCTACATTTCTTACTCTGCCTCCTTAGGCCTGCTTCCTCTTCTCCACCCTAACATACCGCTGGCAATCCAACACAACCAAATACTACAAAAGGATGACTTTAAATGGGGGACTTTCAGCTCCTATATGGGGTCTTACAAAACCCCACAGATGATCATGGACTATAGGACTGCCTATAACTAAGAGCTGTTTGATAAAATAACCTCCCTGAATCCTGAAAGCTAGGAATACCTTTATACATGAAAAGACTGCCTCAGAAGGGAAGGGCACTTGTGTCCAAAGGAGTGGCGAGTTAGTTGGACCAGTCCAAACAGCAGTTACATTTTGATTTGGTGACACCAATAAAAACCTTAGTCATTCCTGTCTACCAGTTGTAGGACTTTACAAAGGTAGCAGCATGGTAAAGTGAGCCTTTTAGGGGTTTTCTTTCTGATTAGGATACAGCAGATACACATTGGAATATACCTAGAGACTATTACCTTGTGAATTTGTATTACACATGACTTTAATGATTTAACATTACTTTACCAAATGATATTTTTATAAATATTTAAATTAAAAAACTGTGATATTAAATTAATTTAAATGATTTCAAATGATATTCTTACAGTAATTATTAAAAACTACATAAATTCTAACATGAGTTTATATTTTATGGGAGAACACAAAGTGAGAAAGTGTAGAAATAAATAACAAGTCATCTCTCTCTGTACAAGCTAAACAATGAAAGTAAGAAATAGTGAAAATTTTTAAATATCTTCATATTTGCCCCCCACTTTATACTTACAATCATATTTTCCAAGGCATGTTTGGCAAGCCAACAGTTAAGAAAGACTGGGACAAATAGATTCCTTAAGGAAGGCCAGAATATCTGAAACATAAACAAACAACTTCATCTCAACATAAGAAATCATATCTAGCAGGTTAAAATGAAATGTAAATCAGAAAAAAAAAACTATTGAAGACAATGTAACAATTTAAAACACATGGCAAATACCTTAAACTTACTATTAATGAAATGCAAGGAACAGATATGAGCTTTCATTGTTGAAGTTTTTCTTAGAGAAATTATTGCAGAAGCAGAAAGGAAATAATAAGCTCTCATTAGACATCAGATATAACTATATTAATTCTATCATTAAATCTTTTTTTTTTTTTTTTTTGACAGGCAGAGTGGACAGAGAGAGAGAAAGGTCTTCCTTTGCCCTTGGTTCACCCTCCAATGGCCGCCGCGGCCTGAGCGCTGCGACCAGTGCATTGCGCTGATCCGAAGCCAGGAGCCAGGTGCTTCTCCTGGTCTCCCATGCAGGTGCAGGGCCCAAGTACTTGGGCCATCCTCCACTGCACTCCTGGGCCACAGCAGAGAGCTGGCCTGGAAGAGGGGCAACCGGGACAGAATCCGGCGCCCTGACCAGGAATAGAACCCAGTGTGCCGGCGCCGCAAGGCGGAGGATTAGCCTATTGAGCCACGGCGCTGGCCTATCATTAAATCTTTTAGTGTGATAGTTCATAATAGACATTGGCTTTCTCTTCCATCTAACTTGAGAGGACAAGTAGGAAAGGGGGGGGGGGATGCTCTTTTAGTAACATTGTCACTTACTCTCTGGAATCATTAGGGAGCTATGTTCAATTGGAATTATGTTTAGTTAGCTTGTCATTTAATCTAGTTGCAATTGCTCCTCTAGATAAATCACTAAAATTAAAATAACTGTCAGAAGTAAGCAAGAGCTTCAGATAATATTACTTATTTTCAGAATTTTCCAAATAAAATTCAAATAAAGTGCTAGAAAGTCTAACCCAACAGACATTATTATAACCCTATCAAATTGAGAACAAAATCTAATTTTACAAATGGGAAACTGCAGAGCTGTGTATTTATAGGACTGTGGTTTAATAGGATCATTGTGGAATTGGCACTACACAGTACTTTGATAAAGAAGCAAATTGCTAGTTGTCTAGCTCTTGGCAACTTTCCTACTAAAGAGAGAATTGGAGTTGGTAAATCCTGCAGTGAAACTAGAGATAAATATATTCCCAGTATGAGAAACTTTCATTAATACTTAAATCTAACTGGTCTCTATTTTTTTAAATCCACAATACAAACAAGAAGTAAAGTGAGAAATTTATAGCCTTTGTAGAAAATATTGACGTTTGTTTGAATGACACCTCTAGAGCTTATATTTCTGAAAACACTTCATTTTGATATTATTCTGAATCTCATTAGTTTTCATTTAGTCACACAATCCAGTTATCCAATTGTTTTTTAGTACATGATTCCAACCAGTCTAAATCAATTTATATCAACTCCTTTATTATTTAGCAGTATTTAGATTTAAAATTTTACTTAAGACTAATGACAATATCTTTAAGATTCATTTAGGACTTACTGAGATAATGAAGGGAACTGCGTTAATTATTTCCAAGATGAAGGGTATTCGTAATATCTGTTCCCAGATGTTTCCCTTCCAAGAAAGAATGAATAAAAATTAAAGTGAATTACATTGAGTTGTATAAAAGGGGAAAAGACAGCACTCACAGTTTCTCTAGCAGTAAGGATGCTTACATTAACAGAACACTATATCATTATATAGAGATTTGGCAACAACTTCTAAATATGATTTTCCTAAGTGTAATTGTGCTCTCTCAGCTCTAAAGTAAGGTTAATAAACAAACCTTTATAGTAGTAACCCTGAATATTGCACATGACAATGGGAAACCCTATAGTAATTCATAGAAGAAAAGTTACCACAACATTAACAAAACCTAAGAATTAATGTAAAAGCGATGCAATCTTAAGTTTTAACATAATAATTATGTTCACTAACTGCAAAGCACACTGAAAACATATGCACTTCTTAATCATTGATCTTAATATCACTTTTTTTACTTTACCATAACCTAAAGGAAGAACTTTTTCAATCAGCCAAATCCCAATCTCCCAAATAACATAGCACAACAGTATCAATTAAGCCTGAACACATAATTTGCAGGGTCTCATGTAAAATGAAAATATGAAGCCTCTTGCTACAAAATGTTTAGAAATTTCAAGAAAGTTACATTATAAAACCAATCACAAGACTTTTACTCTTGCGGAGCCCTGTACAGCTGCTCAGATCACATGCCCATGAGGTTCATGGCTCATTGTTGAAACTTTTGTGAAAGATGTCCAATGATAACAAACTCAGAACTTCCTAAAATAGCTTATTTGTCTCTAAAAGGATTGATGTATTAGAAAGGCAACTTGAAATCCAGTCTCCCTGAAATTTCCAATTAGCGTACACCACTGGCTTATAAAATTGAGAATGTTTCTTAATTTTCCTTGAGGACCGGAAGTCTTAAAACATTACAATGATGTGAAATACTTGCACATCCCAAAGCAAGGTTCTAGGTCAGCTATTGTCTGTATGCTAAGATATTACTATAGGTTTTTGTAGCATTAGTTTATCACCTCAAGCTATATGGAAAGTGGTAGAGTGGGTATCTTCAATCAGACACAGAAACACAAATACCACATGTTTCTTATATGTGGGAGATAAAATTAAGAGAGAGAGAGAGGAGAAAGAGAGAGAGAAACCCCTGGGTATATCATTTTACTGCAAATGCAGTGTTTTGTCAATCTATCTTTTCAATACTGTCCAGTAATTTCATTGGAATTATATACCACTATAGTTTTAATGATTTTGTGATTATTTTAAAATTTGTATGAGTAAAAATGACATCTTTCTTTGATTATTGCATATAGCCCAGGCCTAATTTTTTATTTGTTGTACTATTTATTTAGTGGAGCCAACAAGTCTTTAAATATAATGTAAATTTAAAATATCTTATCTCAAAAATATAATAAATAAAATCCTTTTCTAAAAAAGGAAAAATTGTAATAGAAGAAGGAGCAGTGGAAGGAAGAGACAGTAAAAACTGTTCTCTGTGGAGTTGTTACAGGGGATATGGTGCCTTGCTCAACACCTCAAGCTAAGTGAGAAAGTCTCAAGGGAACCACTTGGAGAGCTTGGTTCACACAGGAGGGCTCTATGCATATTTGGGTAAACCTAAAATATTTAAAATTGAGAAAGAAAAGGGCCAGTATGTTGGCATTCAGGTTAAGCCACTGCTTGCAACACTGGCACCTGAAAACAGACCGCTAGTTCGAGTTCTGGCTGTTCCACTTCCAATTCAGCATCCAACGTCCTACTAATGAGATGGGAAGGCAATAATAGATGGCCTGAGTACTTGGGACTCTACTGCCCATATGGGAGACCAGGAAGAGATGCTGGCTCCTGGCTTTGGCCTGGCCCAGTCCCGGCTGTTATTGCCATTTAGGAAGTGAATCAGTGAATAGAAGATCTCCATTTCCACTCCTCCCCAACCCCAGGGTGTGTGGGTGTGGGTGTGTGTGTGTGTGTGTATCTCTCCCTGCCTGTCAAATAAATATAAATAAATAAATAACAAATAAATAAATCTTCATAACATGAAACAGGAAAGAAACAGAAGGCTGCAATAAAACAAGCCACAATTCCCCGCAACTTTAAGACAAGGAAACCAGAACAGATCCTACAGAATTCAGCTGGTGATCATTTTTATCAATGATTCAGATACGAGAAGACAGTGTGCCTAAGAAATGGGATCTCACCAGACGGGAGATCTCAGAAGTCAAAGGTTGGTTTTGAAGTCCTAGAGGATGGTCTGAAGCCTGAGGCCTCCAAGAAGACTCAGGCAAAGACTTCACAGAGATATAATCGCCCAACGCGAGAGAAGAGCTGGCATGAATATCCATCACACACAGAGTGCCCCAACACCACACCATACCTGTACCAGGCAGGCAACTTCACCCCAGACGCCAATTGCATTTCACTCCATGCTCAAAAATCAGCTGACACCAGGCAAGAGAGGAAATGAAAATAGGACAGTGCTCACAGAATGATTCCCTGCCCCATGTAGGTCTGAGCTGAGGACAAACTGAAGCATCACTGGATGAGAGTTTTATTTTTTAATATATTGATCATAGCTTCTTTTCTTAAATATTTTATTGAAATATAGTATGCATACCAAGAAATTCTCATAAATGTACAAAGAAATGAATTTTTATTCTCTTTTTTGTGGTAGTTAATATATAGCAATGGTATAAAAATTGTGAGGATGTCATATAATTCAGTATACAGATATAAATATTGCCTCACTCAATCATACATGTAATTGACAATTCTTCAATATTCTTCTTTCTCACATTAAAAAAAAAAAATGAAGAGGGGGCCAGCGCTGTTGCGCAGAGGGTTAACACCCTGGCCTCAAGCGCCGGCATCCCATACAGGCACCGGTTGGAGTCCTGGCTACTCCACTTCTGATCTAGCTCCCTGCTATGGTCTGGGAAAGCAGCAGCAGATGGCCCAAGTCCTTGGGCCCCTCCACCCGCATAGGAGAACCGGAAGAAGCTCCTGGCTCCTGGCTTTGGATCAGCGCAGCTCCAGCCATTGCGGTCACCTGGGAGTGAACCATCAGATAGAAGACCTCTCTCTCTGTCTCTACCTCTCTCTCTTGCTCTTTCAAATAATAAAATAAATCTTCAAAAAAAAAATGAAGAGGAGAAATCACAGTTTCTTAATCACAAAACTAAGATTTGCATTGTGAATGAAGAGACTAGGAAAGCTGGTGGATCTTTGTGGGGTTTCATCTGATCAGCATGGATTAGAGGAAGAGGCATGGATCTGAAGAAGTGCAGGAAGACGAGACTTTGCTTTCTGTCACTGAATCAGGCCAGTTAAATAAACAACCTATAATGGATTTTAGTTGCATCATGTGTTTTTTCCTAATGTTGCAAATCAGTAACATCAGTTCTTTAGATAGCATAGTTTTCAGAATGCTTAACATTGGCTTACTCTTTCCTTGTTATATTTTCACTTGTCATTGTGTACCTTTCTTGGTTGTCAGTGGTTGCTCATGAGCAAAGTGACTGATCTGATTAGCAAGAAACAGATGGGTAGAGGTAACAATCACAAGCAGTGGTAATGAGGATATTTCCATAACACAGAAATATTAGTGTTAGCTTTCTTGGCAACAGTGACACACAGGATGAATCTTATTTTACATCTCTTTGGAATTTCTTCTTTATTTCCATGTAAAACACATTAACTCTCTTTTTACAATTTTTACATGAACATTAAAAATCTTTACAACTGGTATCTGACTAGGTTATCTTCCATATTAAATCCAGAGAATGCTTTCTACAATGCCAAAGTCCCTTTGCAAACATAACAACATCCAAACTCATCATTTTATTATATATGAAGGTCCACAATTTGAACTCTGGTTAATTTAACCACATATTCATCTTTACTGAATTTTATACTATTCCCTGGACAGGCTGGGCTATTTCATCCTTCTGTAAAAATGCTCACATTTATCCCTCTGGTTGAAATGCCCTACTCACATGCATGCCTACACCACTTATTTCCTTGGCAAGCGTTTGTAACATGGTACTGAATTTACCCCTTTATTTGCTTGCCGGGGTTCAACTAAGTATGTAAATAAATAAATGAAATTCTCAAGTTTTTTATGCATACTCTTCCTTTTCTTCAATAAAACTGGTTTGTTTTTTAACTTAAACATATTTCTTTCTATCAAATACAAATGGAAAACATTTGAAGAAGTTATATTGATTAAAACCTTCTTGAATGTAGTTATCTATAAATCATCAAACTTGAAAGCACAGAATTCAATAGAAATTTTTTGCAGGAAAGGACTTCAAGAGTCCTTACCTTCCTTCCCATGTTACGAAATTTCATCTATATTTTGCCTCTCACTTATAGTCAATAATAAAACAATGATTTCTAATATTGTATCTCTATCCCAGATCAATATGTTATCTCTGAGATTCTAAGATCAACTGCCTAATCCACTGCTTCATACTGATGTCTCAAAAGCACCTTTCAGGTTTATGGTCTCCCAGCAATACAAACCAAAACTCCTGGAGAAAACCTTTACACATCTCCCTACATCCACCACATACTGTTTAGCTTAATTTACCAAGAACACCTGATTCATAAATTGCACTTGAGATTTGGTAGTTCTAATTCTAGCTCAATGCCCACTCTTTGACCTGGTCAAGCGTCCTAATTAATCTTTGTCCATCCTTGTCCCATTCCTATTCACATGTTGTACTATTAGAATTCCAAAGATGCCTGTTCCCTCACTCCATCCCATACTCATCTATTTGGAAACTCTTGAACTATTCAGGTATATCCACACAAAGATAACAATCCTACTGCTACCTAAAAGGTAGCATGTCATTTGGCTCTCATTGACCTCCCTGCCCTTATTCTGAAGGTTATTATTTCTACAGATATTTCAGTTCTTAGAGTTTGCCTCAGCAAATGCTAACTCTTCACAAGGCTTGGAAAATCTTCACCTTCCTTTCCAACTTTATGTTGCCTTATTAACTCACACACACCTTTCAACTGCAGAGTCAGAA